GGAGTTATTATGAATGAAATAATTGATTATGCAAATAATAATAATAATAATAATATAATAATAATAATAATAAGATTATTGGATTTTGAAGTATATTTTGAAGAGTCATATGACTTTATTAATTAGCATTTTTCAGATTATATGATGGGTTGCACGGGTTCATATATAAACTGGAAAGCTTGGATAAGGGCTTGTCTTTACGGTTGCTTAGTTTAGCTGTCTATTTGAGTGAATGATAGCCTGATTGAGGAGGAGGTTCAAATTTCTGAAGGTCTCAAAAAGAAGGAGATTTTCTTGGCTCCTCTCTATTGTTCTTACTGATTGTGGAATGTTCAAGTGCTTTAACTGGTGATGTTGACTCACCCAGCAAATATAAAGGTTTCAAAGTAAATGTAAAAAGGTCTATCAGTCGCTTGTCACAGACTAACTTCCGTCAGTTGTGTGTATATTTTATTACTGTATTATTTATATCATTTTATGATAAGATATAAAAAAAAACTGGGTTCCATCTAATATCTTACAAATTAAAGAAAAAGAAGTTCCATCAAATTCTATACGTTCTATCACATTTTAAACAATTCAAATAATAGAACTTAGTATTAGTTTATATCATCAATTAATCCTTTTCCATTAATTTTAATTATAATATACAAAAATTAAGATTTTATATTAAAATGAATAATTTGAAAGTGTAAAAATTTGAAAATTGAAGAAAAATAATAATACAAAAAAATTAAAAACAATAACCAGATAAATTCGGAGAAAATAAAAAAAAAATTCAACGCAAAATATCAAAACTAATTAATTTGAATTTTGAGAGAAAAAAGTAAAAGAAGTAATTTATCAACAAAGTCACTTTTTCTAATGAGAAGTAAAATATTATTTTATCATCAAAATACATATATCATTTTATTATACAAAGATATAGTTTGATGTAGATCACATTAATGTATGTATATCCAAGCTATACGGTAGCAGACAAGACAAATCAAAGAGAGAAGTGTGCAGAAAAACCCAAAATCATATACGGTGGGTCCAGTGAGGTCGATCGGATTCTTGTGCTGTGGGCACCTCACTTTTCCTTTCATTCTTCAAGTGGCCGAGAAGCAGCACTAACAAAAATCAAGTTTACCAGCCGTGAGTAAAAATAATAGTTACTACGCAGGTTACATATTATAAAACCTTAGTAGATGTTTTTAAAATATCGACATTAAAATGTTATTTAATAATTTTTTTTAAAATATTAAGTAAGTCTAAATGTAGTAATTTTTGTAAAAAATAATATTTCATTATTAATAAATTAATTTTAATTTTAAATTAAATATAATATAATATTACTCTTATTAATTGTAAGAAAATGAAATTCATAATAATAGGTTCATTTTGACAGCACAAACCATGAAGAAACACAAATGAAATAGACTATATTTCACTGTCATGTTGGAGATGACCATTGGTGGCGTGCTTATGTGAATATTATGTGCAGCCATGGAGGTTTTTGTGTGGTGAACTTTTTTGTTGCCAAAGGGTAATGGTATTTTACAAGTTTTCAAATGTCATGTCAGTAATATGCAGGCACATTATTCAGGTCACAGGAGACAAATTCATTAACATCAACCTATGTAGTTCATTTTCATGGTATCTGTATAAGATATGATTTTTACTTTTAACAGACGAAGAAGATGACATGGCATAATTCCTGGCATGGCAGTGACAGTTTTGTTGGTTTTCTATGTGAGACGACTAAGCAGCTACCTAAAGCCAAGTGATTCTTCAGTAGCCACTAAACTAAAGGTAAAGGCGAATGACAAAAAGTCTAGAGATCTTTTCCGCTGATTACAATAAAAAAGTATTCAAATTCCAAACATTTAAAAATTATTACACTTTATCCGCATTCATTTATTCTTTCTTAGAAGGGTTCATTGGCCAGAACGTCATCAAAACTCAAAAGCTAATCAGTTTACAAAAGGTACATATGTATGGTTCAATTTTTGCATAAAACAAATAAAATATAACCGACCTCAAAACCAAACATGGGGCCAGCTACAGGGCATTGTGAGCTCACATCGTTGAATCACCTAGTATAGTGGCATGTTTTATTTCAATTTCAATCAAACCTATGTTCTCGTGTGCAAAGATAATCTACAAGATCTTGGGTATAAAATCTTTGGATTAAGAACATTCTTCACCTGCGAGCAAGAAATAATCTAAAAACATAAGGTTTTGAGAAACATAGTAATATCTGACCTTTAAAAAACATCCTTAATGCGTATAAAACAACTGTAATGGAATATGCTATCGGATACGTTATAACTAATGGTTGGTCAAGAATGCTTTGCGTTCTATGACAAAGAGGGGAAAAAAAAACCTTGCGTTAACTTTCCTTCTCTTGCTCGCACCATGAGAGAAGTAACAGCTTTGCGCTGATCACCAAAATTTGGAAAAAGGACAAGTCACCTTCCAATAACTAGCAGAATTGACCAATCACCGGCCACAGGGTCGCTTAACTTACAACTGAAAGCAGAGCATGGTGTTAATTAGGAGGAGCCCTTTTTGCCTCACAATAATATCAAGCATCAAGCATATATATAAAATTTGGATGGATTATGAATATCATCAGTGGATGTTCATTATTTTTTGTTTGATGGTTCAGAAAACAGAAATGATCAGAATAGAAACGAACTAGAATAGACAACCAATCAACCAAGTTAATTAAATTGGCAGGTTTTACTGGGCATAGTTATAAAATATCGGATTGAACCTATAAAAGAAAATGAATGGAAGATTCTTACCAACTGGTTAATAAATTTTTTAGATATCTTTAACTACTATAATTAATCATTAATTAACTATGATAAATAGCTATTGTTTACTAGTAATATGCTAATAATTTATCATTGGCCTAACTACCGTGTATACATCACCATATGTAACCAAATTAGTGGATTTCACTGGATCATCAAGTTACCGAACTGATTTTGATTTTATTTTAATGCTTATTTTATTTTCTTTCTTTTTTCCCCTCAACAATAAATTCTTTAGTTATCTATTCTTTCTAGTAGGCAAAGGTATTTTATTTTAAAATAAATATATATACAGTTTAGTAATTAAACAATAAAATTTTATAGTTTTTAAATAGATAAATTTTATTTAATATCTCATTATATTAAATCAAAATAAATATACAAATTATGACTATTAAAATTTAATAAAATTAAAAGATAATTTAAAATCAAATGACATTATATGTATTATTATTATGTATTTTATTTAAACTTAAATTCTATAAACATTATGCATTAAAATAAGAAAAATTCAGTAAGTTACTAATTAATTTTTTTTTATATTCAAATGTTAAGTTAAAAAATAAGATTATTTTATTTTTAAAAATTGAAAATAATTAGTTAAAATCAAAACACATTAAAACCTCATTTTTAATGGTAAATAAGATTTTACCTTCTCATTTTACAATGTCATTTATTTAAGAAGAGTCAAACTCTTCAAATTTAATAGTAACTAATTTTTTTGTATCAAATACACAAATTAAATAAATAAAATTACTACTTATTAACTATGTAAAAAAATGAGTAAATCTTTTCATACCTCTTTAATAAACTTTTTTCTAATTTTGCACAAAAATACATATAGATGGAGTTATCAACATAGTTGAAATAAAATAATTAGGCATAGATTGATTCTATTGATGAAAATCAATGAAAGATTCTTACATAAAGATTTTGTACGAACTTGATTAATAATTTTTTTTTACATATTATTAATTAATTTATCATTGGCCTAACCAGATTAGTGGATTTCCTGGTTCATCAACGCTACCGAATTCAGAGGCAGTGTGAAATAAATTTTATTTATTTGTTCTTACAATGAACACTTCTAATCCAATCAGCCAATACTTATTCCCTTTATATCAACACTATGATGCTCGTATATAGAATAAACACACGACTACAGCAGGAGAGAATTTGTTTTCTTCTATTTGTTTTTCTCTAAACCCTATATTTTGTTTAATTAGACAGATTTAACCTTGAGTAGCTAAATAATCAATTTACATATGCAGGGATGCATAATATGTGAGTGATATCAAACAAATTTTCAACACGATGTCTCATATTGTGTAAGACGTATCACATTTTATATCTAACTAAATAAATGTTATCATTATACATGAAAAGAGTGTTGTCTCACGAAATATGGTTGTGTCTGCATAAATTAATTAAGGGGGTGGGGACGCAAGCCAATATAAATTCAGTCATTTGACGTGGTTCTCTTCTCTCCTTCATTCAGCAAAAGGCTATAGTTTAGATGTCAATTTCATTTACACAGGACGCTGTATCATGCATGCGAATTGCATAATTTATGAAAATTCAATGACTTTTTTTTATTTTTTAATTTTAAGACACTGTACTAACAGTAACATAGCTGTCTAAATTAGATAAACAAAAGTAGTCAACCCCAAACTCAATTATAGAGTTAGGTTCCAAAATTATGCAATATAGATAGTGCTCATTTCTTTTCTTGTCCTCCTCATATTGATTAATGATAATTTGATAGTATTAACACTTTGTATTTCAATTCATCATTGATTTTAGAATGTCGAATGTAACTAATTTTTCCACTATTTGTCAGTTTAAGGAACAATCAGGAAATTATCCATCTTCAAAATTTAAGGAGAAAATAAAAAGAAGAAAAAGTGCACTAAGCTTTGTCAAAACGCAAGATCAAACAAAGACGCTATGTTACACCGTCCCACTCTCCCATGTGAAAGAAGCTACCGAAAAGTTTTATATACTTCATGTTGCTATTGACATTTGGTAGATTGTGGCAGAAAAAAAAAATGAGAGGGGACCCCACATGGCAGTGTAAATAGTGACATGGAATTGAAACTCAACTGCTTCTTCTGATTCTCCATATCTACCTTCCAATCCGTCATTTGTGGTGGTTTTTTAAGGATTGTAAATAAATATAATACACTCATCCCTTCATAAAAGATTCCACTATTAGGATTGTTATCTATCCTTTTTGGCTTTTGGCCCTGCCAGTATTTGCGTAGGATCCAAGTACTCTTTTCACTCTTTGCACTCAAAAAGCCATTGCAGGATCACACACACTGACAAAGAGAAAGAGAGAGAGAGAGATTACTGGGTGTGTGTGGTTGACTGTGTAAATGGGAATCACAAAGTGTACTTGAACTGGGATACATCTGATTCCTTTGTCTCTGCTGATTCATATTCTCTTTAAGGTGAATCATCTTGTTTGTGTTGTGACATAAAAGTCTCTCTCTTTTCCTTCTTCTTTCTATCTGCTTTATCATATTGATATTGATATTATCTTCCATGGGGGTTTTGTGCTTGCGGTGTTTTTAATCAATAATCAACAATATAGATGGTGGGGTTGGTGGAAGGTGTTTCCTTTATGCATGTGAAATTGAATTTCGTTTGAAGCAATTCAATTTGAGTCCATTGATTATCAAGCCATATTGGGCTTTGCTTTAAGGGAACAAAGAGAAAAGGATAGAGCATATTGGGTGCTATGAAATTGAAGATATTTGAGCAAACTGTTATGCTGGATTGGAAATTCAGACTTTTTCTTGTTTCCTTACTTTGAGGTTTGGTGGATTGGTTCTGCTACATGAAAGAGAGTTTAACATTATTTTATCGTTGATACAAACATGTTACTGATTGGATACTGAACATTTGCTTGTCATGTTTCTTGCTTTTTTAGATTGTCTTTAGAAGAACATGATATCAGTTTTTCCTTTTGAATTAGTCATATAGTAAGTTATACTGTATCAGTTGTGCAGAATCTTTCCCTTCATTCAATCTCTTATGTATCACTTTTCATTTTTCCTGGTGTCTCTGATTGTTCAGGACCAGAGACACTGGGTAATTTATGATTCACACAATAAGGCCTGATGTGGCGACATGGTTTTTATATTCCCTGATCTACCTGCTCTTGATGTTGCCTATTTCCTGCCAGTGTTAATACCTCAAAAAATGCTAGATGGTAACACTTTTAGCATCACAGCATGTTTTTCTGGCAACATTTATTTGTGTATTATCTTTTCGAATATTTTATAATTCTAGAGAGATGACCATAGTACATATGAAGATTCAATCTGTGGTCTTGCTTGTAGCTTATTGACATAATTAATCCATGGAGTTTTCTTATGTGTAAATTATAGTACTTGTTTTCTTACCTACTTGTGGGGCTTTACTCAGGAAGAGGTTTACCAGCCCGCAGAAAGTAATATTGCATGGGTTGGTTTACCAAATTGCTTAAGGGATCCAACCGTAAATCTTCAGGAGGAAAATATCATGGGAAATATGGAGATGACAGAATTTCAAACAATCATGATTACTCGGAGGTGATCACTCTTTCTGCTTTTAGTAAAAAAACTGACCATTTTGTTACAAGTTATCATATCAATTTTAGCATGATACGATACTAGTTCCTTGGGACTTACTAGTTCCTTGGGACTTAGTCTGAAGTTGTAACAATGGTAATCTGAGTGCAGGAGAATTTGACAGATATTGAGAAAGAAGAAATTGATCGTGCAATAGCGCTCTCTCTTTCAGAGGCAGATCAGAAAGGGAAAAAAGTTATTGGTGAGATTCATGTCTCTGCTGATCAGTGTTTAAAGTTCATTATTAAGTTTGAGGTACCTAAAATGTATATTCTAAGTATGAGTATTGATTTATTAAGTTCTTTTATACATTATTGCCTTTCTTTTTATATCTATCTTAGTGTCTTATTCATTATTATTTAATAGAATTATGTTTTACTAATCAAAGAATATGGTGTCATTGATCAAATCTTGTTTGAAATGTAATTTTAATTTGTACACCAGAATAATCAGGACTTGTTGATTCGGCTGTTTTATGAGTTGATACAGAAAGTACTAAAGATATTTTTTTTACATGGTTAGAGTCCATTGAAAAAGTTCTGAAATTCCATTTGGTAAACGTGTGTTTGGAAAGGATTCTCGATTTTTCCCTGCCAAAGTACTTAAAAAGGCCTCATTTTTTTGCCTCACAATACCCCAGAGGATGACTCCGAATCTGAAGATGTTGAACTGTGTCAAATTGATGATGAGGAAGATGAATATCATGGTGAAATTCAACAAGATGATGATGACCATCTTGCTAAAATTCAACAGGATGAAGACAAACACCTTGATGAAGCTCAACTTGAGGAAGATGAACAACTTGCCAGGGCAATTCAAGAAAGTTTGAGCATTAGTTCTCAACCTCAATCTGATGCTGATTCTTTATTTCAACCATTTGCACACTATTTCCCATCAGTATACAGGTAACTGTGGGAAAGATGACATCTTTATATGTAGATAGTGAGTCCAATTCCGAACACCATTTATGAAATTGCTGAAGTTCACTAATTGTGATAAATTGGGGGGGGGGGGGACTAGTTATTTTCCACATAATTAAAATTGCTTTAATGAAATACTGGCAGGAAAAAAATTGTCCAAACCGATAATGTTTCCAAACTTCAATATGAAGAATTTCTGAATTATGTAGAGTAAAGACTGATGACTTTTTATTTCAATGTTTCTTACTCTCATTTTCCTCTCATGTCTATAGTTGTTAATTTTAATCTCTTAAAGTCTAAAATTAATTTGAAAGAATGAATGGAAAATGATGCCATTTCTCTTTTACACTGACAACCAACCAAGTGAAGGTTGAGAAAAAAGTTGTCATAAAAGAGGAAAATTTTTAATGAGTGTGATATAATATTAAGCTGTAAATATTTTAAATGGATATACATTTTATTTAAATTAGCCTATAAAGAATAACTTGAGAGTACTGATGTATCCCTAATTTACACGGAGTTGACATATGGTAATCCTATAATAGTTTGAGATTTTAGTCCAAAGCCTTGAACTTGGATAAATTCCATAACGGGATTTTGTGTGTGATGCACTGGAATCTGTTATTCTTTCCTCTTGTTCTAAAAGTTCATTTCATTTGATGAAAATGATGCAAGGACAGCCTTTTTGAGCCAGCATTTCATAATAGGGTCAATTATTGCCCTTTTTATGGTAACTTGCTAGCACTGAATATCATAAGTATCTTGCTAGTTTTTATGCAATCATCCTAAGAAAATTGAAATATTCACCTCACTGGCAAAAGCACGATCAAGATAGAGACATCTATAAAGTGTCCCTCACAAATTCTTGAATCTTATAAAAACAAAGTCTAAACTGGGTTCTTGGAAAATGTGCTTACAGAATCTGTGCTGGCTGCAATGCTGAGATTGGCCAAGGAAGATTTTTGAGTTGCATGGGAGGTTTCTGGCATCCAGAATGTTTTTGTTGCCATGCCTGCAAACTGCCAATCACTGATTATGAGGTTAGTGTTGTGTTGATTGCTGCATGGTTCATGAAACTCAATTTCAACACTTCTAAACTTTCGTCTGGAAATCATAAATGAAGGTCTTTAACTTATTTTAACTTTATTTTTTGAGGTGAATATGATTGTGATTTATAAATAATGCCTAAATCCCTGTTCATTCACAGTTTTCCATGTCTGGAAATCGCCGTTATCATAAATCCTGCTATAAGGAGCTGCATCATCCGAAATGTGATGTTTGCAAGAATTTTGTAAGTATTAGCAGTTGGTTTTTGCTTACAATTGTTTAGTCAATTCAGTGGTGCTTGATTTTGGTCAATGGTATTGGTAATTTTGATGTGCATTGCAAATTTCACTACAATGTATATGCGCAAGGAAGACGATTGATATTGAGCTGTTCTCCAAAATACTTAGAAAGGACAGAAATCAAAATAGTACTTGAGAATGTGCTTCTGAGGTATACCATGCCATTTGACTGTGTGAGCTCTTCATTGTCAAATATAAGTATTTTTTTTATGGCCAAACAGATATTAGTGTGAATGTTTGATTACTTTACTTCTTTCTTATTTTTGGTCATATGTTTTATTACTTCTTAAATTTCAGCAATTGGCTAAGATCCCATCTTGGGCCAGATATAGGTATAGTAGATTTCCTATATTTTAATAATTGGCTCGTGCTTTGCAACAAATTGTGGATCAGATACTTTTAAATCATTGTACACACAATGTTCAAAACTGCTCTGAGATCTAAGATTTTCCAGCTATGCATGTTTAAGTTTGCATCAAATGTTATATGGATAAAATAAGCCTGTTCTTGAGCTATGACATCATCCTCAGTCATCCAATACAATCGGAGAGAAACTTTAAAATAATACATTCATATTTCAATGAAATTGGAAATGGAACCATTTTCTTTTGTAATCGAGGTTGAACTTTTTACTTTTTTACAAATGCTAAAATTAATAGGACTATTTGGATTTCTTTGAAATGATGATTCAAGAAGTTTTACTACTATTTTGTTAATAGAGCTGTATTTTACTCAGCCTTAAATGCTAAGGGTGTAAATGAAACAAGAAAATAAAATAAAAGCAATTCAGCAAGGTATAGGTGAAAAACCTTGAATCTATTAAGGGTGACCATGTTAATCTTCCTTCCCTCTGTTTTTCAAATTAAATTTATTTTGTCTTTGTTGTTTATGTTCTTTAGTTTTGCAAGTTATAGATATACAGTTCAATTGAATAACTGATTTTTACATTACAGATCCCACCAAATTCAGCTGGCCTCATTGAGTTTAGAGCACATCCTTTTTGGCTGCAAAAATATTGTCCATCGCATGAGCGGGACGGCACTCCTCGATGTTGTAGCTGTCAAAGAATGGAGGTCAGTTATATCAACTCCTAAAACATTTCATCATGTGTCCTTACCAACAAGGACATCACGATGTATCCTGTCTTCCTTTCCGTTATCTGACATGAACTTTGTAATTAATGCAGTCAGTGGATGCCAAATATCTGTTGCTTGATGATGGTCGAACGCTGTGTTTAGAGTGTCTTGACTCAGCTATCATGGATACTCACGAATGCCAACCTCTCTATGTTGAAATACAAGAATTTTATGAAGGTTTAAATATGAAATTAGAGCAGCAAATTCCTATGCTTTTGGTGGAGAGACAAGCACTGAATGAGGCGATGGAGGGGGAAAAGAATGTAAATGTTAACATTTCAAACTTTCATTCATTAAATGTGTCTTTTATTTCTCTTCTTTATATCATACTCTTTCTATTCTGACTTTGGATTGCCTTTTTGCTCTTCACAATTGAATATAGGGTCATCACCACTTACCCGAAACTAGAGGACTTTGCTTATCCGAAGAGCAAACTATCCCCACCGTAGGGATGTTTTACTTGTGAATTTGAGTCTTTATTGATGATTTTAATTCTCTTATAAAATATTTCTGTTTATCAACCATTGGTTGTTACTTATGTCTTGTATTTCCAGATTTTAAGAAGACCAAGGATAGGGGCAGGATACCAGGTCATAGATATGATAACTGAGCCTTTTAGGCTGATTCGCCGTTGTGAAGTGACAGCCATACTTGTTTTGTATGGCCTTCCTAGGTATCCTCTTGATATTTATTTTCACAATATGAAGTATTTGCATATGGAATTCACTGTATTAATTTAAGGATTTTATATTCATAGGTTATTAACAGGATCAATCTTGGCTCATGAAATGATGCATGCATGGCTTAGGCTTAAAGGTACTATCTGCTTTCCTGTGATAGAAAATTTATATTTTTATTTTCATCATGTTGAATTGGACAAATTTGAGGTTTTGGCAGGCTATGGCAATCTGAGGCCAGAAGTTGAAGAGGGAATTTGCCAAGTCTTGGCCCATATGTGGTTAGATTCAGAGATCTATTCTAGCTCTGGAAATGATGGTGCATCTTCATCTTCATCATCATCATCATCATCCTCGTCATCACCTTCTTCCTCTTCATCGTCAAAGAAAGGTAAACGTTCTGACTTTGAGAAGAAACTTGGAGAGTTTTTCAAACACCAGATTGAGTCAGATAGCTCAACAGCTTATGGAGATGGGTTCAGAGAGGGTAACCAGGCTGTGCTTAAATATGGGCTTAGAAGGACCCTTGACCATATCCGATTGACCGGAAGTTTTCCATTTTGAAAGATGATGATGGTATTTGACTCCTCTAAAGTGAGTAGTTCACTTTGGAGAGTCAAGTAAGGTATCCCAATTGTTAATGAGAAAATTAAGGTGGTAAATTTTAATAAAATCATGATTTATTATGCATGTGCATGAGACATCAACCGTAAATTTTCCATCAATGGTTGAGGAGCCAAATCTAAGAGGATGATACAGTTTTGTTTACCTTACATCAACCAATATTTCACCCTTGTCATATAAATTATATAGGAGCCAATAATTCCAAAATTATATAAATTTACACTACACTGGACGAAATAAGGAATGGAATGCTCCTGTTAGCCTGTGGTTGATGAAGCCTTTTTCTTTTTTAATGTTTGGTTGGTGTAATTTCCAGATTCATATTCCATGTTTTACAAATACCTTCCTCACCTGCAGTTGAATATACAAAAACAGCTGAAGCAATTACAGTGAATAGATTGTATATTTTGTATTTTGCCGATGTTCATTTCTTTTTTCTAGCCTTACTCGGCAGTAATTGTTTTTATCCACTAGTGGGAGTTTGCAATTGATATTGGCGGTATCTCAGTATTTGCAATGACTGTTCGACCATGTAATGTAAGTAATGCTTGTCACAAGCAGTCTTTTTCATTGTAGTTCATATCCATCTTTACCAAACTGCAAATAAATAATTTGGCTAGAAGAAATCATCTTCACCTATGACATTTTTAAACCTATACCAGACCGTTTGGTTTTAGAAATATTCTATTATATATATATATATATATATATATATATATATATATATATATATATATATATTAAAATACAAGAATATTACCTTTTTTAATATTTATATGAGAAACAGGGAAAGAAAAATGGTAACCTCAATTCTTAAGATTGAGAATAAACAACTAAAAATAATAAACTTTAACGAAGAAAAAAGCATTTATTATCTTGACAATATAAAAATGTAATAATATTGTATTTTTTAATAAAAATTATTGAATCTGTTGTGTTAAAGGTTGATCTTAAGTAGAGATGGCAATGGGACACGTTAGGAGCAATTTAATACAATAAAAATCCTATAATATATTAAATGTTATAATTTTTAGTAGCAAAAAAAAATATTATATTTTTTATTAAAATTTATTACTTATTGAATTTTTATTATGTATCTTTTTGGCACACATTTAAAAAAAAATATATTATGTTATACACTTTTTAATACGTACTTAAAGATATATAATAAAAAAAGTTAAATTATATATTTAATCTTTGTAGTTAATATTAGTTTACAAATTAGTTTTCATACTTTAAAAAAATCACATTTAAATCTATATATGAGTTTTTTGTTACACAATAGTGAAAATTTTATTTAATTTTATATTTTTATATTTTATCTTTCTTTTAAAAAAATGAATATAATATCAATATTAATATTTTTATTATAATTTTCTTAACATGTAAATATCTTAATTTATATATAAAATATATTTTATAAGTTAGGATTATGTGTTAAACTTGAATAATTACACCATTTAATAATTTTTTGGTGTAACGTGAGATTAATTAATATAATCATTGGTTTAAAAATTCTTATCAACTAGATTATTTTTATAAAATTTTATTAAAAAACAAAATAAATAAGTATATAATTACTTTACTTATCTCAACATATAACACATTTTAAAATATAAAAACATATTAAATTTTAGATAATGTACTTAAAAGTGTTTAAAATATGTAAAATTTGATATACATAATTATAAAGATAATATAAAATAATTTAATGATTAAATTAGTTCATCTCACGTTTTATAAAACATTAATAAGTAGTATAAATATATAATCTTAATACTTAGTATCAATAAATTTTAATAATTTTTTTATATAATATATCCATGTCTATAAAATCTTTGATAATATAATTTTTTATATAAGAGATAAAATATTTATTATATTTGATATGTGAAATTATAGTGTTATTCTAAATTTTAAATGAACAACTTTACTATATAATTAATTTATAAATATAAGTAAGTAATTCTAATTATTTTGATTTAAAATTTCATTACTTGATATTTAGAATACTTTTTTTATAGATTATATATTTTATCCAAAAAATTAAATATTTTTTCAATTATAAAAATATTTATCATACTGAATTATTCTTAATATTTTATTTATTATAATAATGATTTTTTTATTGATCTATATATTCACTAAATTAATAAATTTTATATTAATAAATATGTATAATCTTAAATTATAAATAATAATTTTTTATGTGAATAAATGAGTTTTTATCCTTTTAAATTTATAATTTTTTTATTTAGTACTTCATTTTTATTTTTTTAAACAAGTCTATTAAATTTTTTTATTTTAGTTAAAATGTTCAATTAATATTTATAGTTAAAGTTTATTTATGAATTTAATTATAATTTAAAAAATTTATATTTTATCCCTATAAAAATATTTTTTTTCATTTTAATTCACGGTGTTATAATATTATTAATGACATAAACTAAAATATAAATAACAGAGATCAAAACATAGGAAAATACTTCAAAATCTAAAACGTAATTTTTTATAAATATAAAGAGTAATTCATGAATCAAGAACGAGGATCCATGACTAAATGTATAATTCAAAAGTTAATAATTTTTTTTTATGTTAAGTTATATTATATATGGTAAAATAAATATAAATAATAAATAGAAGCTGAGAAGCCACGTGTCGCAGGAGTGAACATGATTGCAGAATTATCATGATGGAGGGAGGGATGCCCTTCATGTGCTTCCAAAACTGATCTATTTCCTTTCTTCTTCCCAGTTCTGTCTTTGTCTCTCTGCTAGAAATCCAAAATCCACCGAATCGCGGGTAAAATAAACCTCTCTTTGATCCATTTTTCCCTCCCTCCCTTTCACCCCTTACTTCTCTTCGTTTCAATTTACTTCGCTTCATTCATTTCACTTCTTCGTCTGCAGTGCCAAATCGCGACTCTCTTGACCGCACTTCCTGAGTTCTAGGGTTCCCCACTACCATGGACCAGGCCGAATTAACCACCGAACAGGTACTTTCCGATCCCGCTTCTCTACGGATGTTTCTTCATTCCACGATCTGATTGCAAAATCTCGATTGTGCACGATTGAGAACCGGTTCCGTTTCGATTTTTGGTTTCCAGCATTGTAATCTCGTCGATCATCGATTTAAATTGAATTACTCCATTGACATTGTGTTCGTGTTTTCTCGAAGGTTCTGAGGAGGGACATCCCATGGGAGGCCTACATGTCCACGAAGCTCATCTCTGGCACGAGTCTTCAGCTCTTAAGGCGTTACGATCACCGATCAGAAAGTCATAGAGCACAATTGCTCGATGATGTAATTTTATAAAAATAATGAATTATCGATGCTAAATGCTGTGCTCTGTGTTTTTAGAGTTGAGCTTGATTGCAATTTTCTTTAGAAGTTGCTTTAATTTGTGATTCTGGAGTTTGCTATCTTGTTGTATTGAAAATTCAACTTTGTTGTGTGGTAGGATGGTCCGGCGTATGTTCGCGTGTTTGTTCGTGTTTTGCGTGATATTTTCAAGGAAGATACTGTAGAGTATGTTTTGGCACTGATAGATGAGATGCTTGCGGGTAATTTGTTGAAAGTGGCCTGTTTTCTTTCTTGTTTTGTCTATTATCTGTGGTGTAATCTTTAAATTATCATCTTTGGCAGCAAACCCGAAAAGAGCAAGGTTGTTTCATGACAGCACCCTTGCAGACGAAGATACTTATGAGCCCTTCCTAAGTTAAGTATTTACTCAAATAGTTTTTGATTTGCATATTAATTATTAACTTTTTTGGTTTGGAGATGATTTGAACTAACATATACTGTATATGTTTATCTATTATACTGCAATGCATGTTTTTAAAATCTCCTTATTATATTAAAATTCAGGATTTATTTCAAATAGAACGTAGTTGTACCTGTAACCATGGCCATTACTTCAGCCAAACGTTTTTAGAATTTTCTTTTCCTGGGGGTTAACACCCTGCCCTAATCATTGATGATGGCCATACATGTGTGTTTGTAAAATATGTGCTTGATAGAGATATTTTTAGTTCCCTTGCACACAAACTAAAGTCCATCATTTCCCCCCTTAATTACAGTTTCCTGATCAATTTATTTTTACAATTTGAGCAGTAAAAACTGTCTATAACTGTCATCTAGATTATTTCATATAATTGTTATGTATTTTACTAATTATTTTTTTACTTCAAAGTTATGATGTACAAAAAATAAAAATAACAATGTTATCCATCTTTCAGATTGCTCTGGAAAGGAAATTGGTTCATACAAGAAAAAAGTTGTAAGATCCTTGCTTTAATTGTTAGGTAATCCAAACATGAGACTTTTCACATTTTGGTTCAAAAACTTCTCAGACTTGAACTGAATAATGGAATCTTTTTGTATGCTTGTATACATTATTACCTTTTCAGTTATTGCACAATTTCATCCCCCTTCTGTTTACAGTGTCAGACCAAAAAATCAGAATGACATTGTTTCAAATGGAGAAGCATCAAACGGAAAGAAGCCGTTTACCACTATTGATGATGTTTTGATAGGATTGGTAAAATGGCTTTGTGAACAGGTATGTGATACTGAAACTTGTTTTTTTCACACTAGATCAACCACATAACAGTAATTCACTGACATGATGATGATGCACCTAATTATATCACCTTATGGAGAGGTTGGCACAATTGCTTGACTTATATGAGAATTTTGTAAGATCTGCAAGTCTGTGAGAGTGACACATTATTTGCCGAACATGACAACTAGGTTATAATTGGACCATAGAATCAATTAAACCAGATACTTTAAAATATTCACTCTGATCTATAGGAGTGTGTGAAATGTTTTACATGAGTAAAAGAATTGCATGTTAAATCGTAAGATGTAAATAGGCTCAGTTTTATTGAATATGAATGGTTTCTCACTTTTATCTATTTATTATATTTGTAGCTGAAGAAACCTTCTCATCCTGTTCGTGGAGTCCCAACTGCCATCAATTGCTTAGCAACTCTACTTAAGGAACCTGTAGTTAGGTCTTCCTTTGTTCAAGCAGATGGGGTCAAGTTACTTGTGCCATTGATATCACCAGCATCCACTCAACAGTCTATTCAGGTACATTCATGATGTATCTAGTTTACCTGTAATACTTTCTGGAAGCTCAATAGCCTGTATCGCATTTTGCAAGAGATGGATAACTTAAACATGCTTGTTGCATCTGACCAAATAATTTATTTTTGAAGAATGATGATGGATTGGTTTCTGGTGATTCCAGATTCGTTGGCTTCTAAATTTGATTTATCAGCAAAAATATCACTGATGAAATTTGTAGATTTCATGGCCCTTTTGTTCGGAACAAAGGGAAATTAATTGATAAATTCCTCTGTGACAGCTTCTTTATGAAACATGTCTCTGCATATGGCTCTTATCGTATTATGAGCCAGCAATTGAATAT